ATGGAACGAACTCCCCATGGAGATTCATACCCTCACCACCCTTCAGACCTTCAGCGTACCCCTTAAAACCTGGCTGTCCCAACAGGCCTGGGACTAAAGACTTCAACCCCACCCGAATAGTATGACTGTTGTGCTTTTTAACGATGTATTGTCTTCATGTGTATAACTTGTTTTGTCCTTCCCTCCCCCTGAATTGTGAGCCGCCCTGAGTCCCCCCAGGGAAAAGGGCGGCATACAAATAAAGTTAAATCCAAATCCAAATCCACTAAATGAACTGTTGTAAGTTGAGAACTACCTGTGCATGGAATCCGCTTTTTTTTTTTTAAGCAGGGACGTCTGCCGAGAGTAGGTTCCTCTATTACAGAATGATAGCAATTCCTACCCTATGCCCCTGTGTTCATTTAGGGGTACTGTGTAGGAAATTAGTACAAGCACTGCAAGTATCTTCCATATGGCTACTGATGCATAAAGCCCGACCCTTAGACATATTGTGATCTGGGTATGAAGAGCTAATTATTCCCTTGACATTAGCTGAAGCTAATTAACTTCCTTATCTGCTAAATTATATCCACGTTTGGAATTTCTTTGCTGAAAGCTTTTCCTGGGGAAAATGCTAATTGTAGTAGCCACGTGACCCCTTTTCGCTCTCTCTGTCTCTCTCACACACACACACACACACAAACACACACACACACAGAATTTCTGCTTTCAAACATGCCATGTCTTCCCTGTAAGTAAGTAAGTAATACCCCATATTAATTATTCCTGCATTGCCTACAGAGCAATAGCGATAGCACTTAGACTTATATACCGCTTTACAGTGTTTTTGCAGCCCTCTTTATAAGCTTTTTTGCAGAGCCAATTGCCCCCCCAACAATCTGGGTCTTCATTTTACCCACCTCGGAAGGATGGAAGGATGAGTCAACCTGCCAAATTGCAGGCAGCCGGCAGTCAGCAGAAGGAGCCTACCCGTATTGCACTCTAACCATCGTGCCATCAGGGCTCAGTGATTCTCAACTTTGGCAACTTTAAGATGGGTGGATTTCAACTCCCAGAATTCCCCGGGCAACTTTGCTTTGGCTGGGGGAAATTCTGGGAATTGAAGTCCACCCACCTTAAAGTTGCCGAGGTTGAGAATCATTGGCCTATCATCTCATTTCGGGCAGGGAGTTTCCCTTGTCCTTCAGAAAGTTTCAAAGCAGGTTTATAGAAGCCCTAAGGGAGAGTGGAAACCAGATGCCAAAAAGCCAGCAGCAGTCCACCTGAACGGGAGTAAGTGAAGAAGGGATGGTGAAGCGAAAGAGGGAAACAGGTACCCATAACCCCAAGCCTTTATTTGTACAAGATGAGAATGTCCAGCTTAACGCAGATATGGGAATGAACTATCGGTAACCCTTGTTTCTCTGCTGTATAATGAGTAATGTTTTAAAGAGAGATGATGTTGAGACTGATGGTAAATTTGGACCTCTTTAATTTTAGTGCACAGCTTCAATACGGAGTCTAGCCGAGGTACTGTAGCCCATTTACCATTTTACTCATGCACCTATTTGTCTAGCATAAATTATATAAAGTTGTTGTTCTGCTTTGAGTAATGTATTAAATGTGTCGGAAATGATGACAGGAGAAACTTGTCAGGTGTCTACATTGTTCAGTCATTCAACAGGTTCCCTCCCATACTGCTGGAAACACATGCGCCATCAGCATCCCTGGGTAAACAATTTGGGTTTTCAAAATTGATAATAGCGCCCGAGCCACCACCTGAGGCTTCGTAAGCGTATTGATTTCTCTGTGAAACATGACACAGAGATTCTAGTTGATGCAACATGCGCTGGTAGATGTTTTGATGAACTAATGGGCTATGACTTTGAGTTTAGGCAGACACAGCTACCTTCTCCATCTGAGACGAGAGAGGAAGGACGAATTGCCTTTACAAAACAGGAGCCAGACTCAAAAAAATCTCCTGCTTTTTACTGGCAATTTTTAAAAAGAAAAAGAAAATCCCTCCACTTAATTTATTCTAATCCAAAGAGCACATGCAGAACTATAATAATAATAATAATAATAATAATAATAATAATAATAATAATAATAATAATAATNACTGCCAAACTGTTGGCATCCAGAAGCCAATAGCCTGCAGTACTGCATTCTAACCACTGCACCACCATGGCTCATTCATAGCAATAGCACTTAGACTTATATACCACTTCACAATGCTTTACAGCGCTCTCTAAGCGGTTTACAGAGTCAGCCAATTGCCCCCAACAATTTGGGTCCTCATTTTACCCATCTCGGAAGGATGGGAGGCTGAGTCAACCTTGAGCCTGGTCAGATTTGAACTGCCAAATTGCAGTTAGCAGAAGTAGCCTGCAGTACAGCATTCTGACCACTGTGCCACCATGACTCTGATGATGTTACCCAATTTGGGTAATGAAAGGTCTTCAAGAAAACAACCAAGCTCAGAGAGCACCAAGGACGTCTTATTTCAACCCTGAGCTACAAGTATGCTCCTTTATCGATAGACAAGCTTGTTTTTACACTTAGAATGTCAGAAACAGTCCATTGGATTTGGCCAAGTCTTGCATAAGAAGGCAGAGCATGCTTCAAAAATGTTTCAGAAGAACTTCTTCTGATCTTTCGTGAGGTCGGTGTCTTATGAGGGAATTTGCCTACTTTAATGAATTTAAAGTCCAAACTGCTTCTTCTGAATCATTTTGAAACTCAACTATTTAGTCCTACAGTGACCAGCTAAGAAATCGAGAGAGATCTGCCACACGTGTTCCTCAAAACATGCCCACTGGGATTCAATTACACAGTTGCTACCCAAGTTTTCTCTGCCCTGCATCTTGTCCCAGGTTTTTCATGAGGCTGTTGAAAGATGACAATAATTACGTTTAACTTGAGAGATACAGAAGGATGCTTCATTCATTCATTCATTCATTCTTGTGAAGATCTGTGAAGCCTAGCATCTCTTGGCAGTGGGTTGAAATTGTGGTAAATGCATAAAATGTTCTTTATTGATTCTCTTTGTCATTCTGTACACTGTTCACAGCTTCATGGCTGGGTTGAGTGACGGCCAAATTGCGGTGCGCAATTAATTCCCTCTTAAAAACTTCAAGGGAAAAAAAGAACAGAAAAGAAGATTTTTTAGACAGGGGGAATAATAGGCCCATTTCAAGTTCTCCTACTCACTTCCTACAAAGTTTATTGAGACATACCTGTAACATTTCCTCACCCTAACCCATATCCTCGGTTGCTGTTTTTGATGGTAGATTATGGACACAAGTAGGTATCAAGACATCGCTAAACTATATTAATCTATGCAGGTAGTCCTCGAATTATTACCATAATTGACCCCAAAATTTATGTTCCTAAGTGGGACAGTTGTTAAGTGAATTTTGTCCCATTTTCCCCACCTTTTTTGCACAGTTGTTAAGTGAAACTCCGCCGCTGATAAGTTAGTTACACGGTTGTTAAGTGAATCTGGCTTCCCCATTCACGTTGCTTGTCAGAAAATCTCAAAAGGGGATCGCAACCCCCATGGGCACTGCAACGGCCACAAATATGAGTCAGTTGCCAAGCATCTGAATTTTGATCACGTGACCAAGGGGATGCAGCAATGGTCGGAAGTGTGGAAATCGGTCATAAATCACTTTATTCAGTGCCATTGTAACTTTCAGTGGTACTTGAGAGACCGCCTACTGCCAATTACCTCCACTAGGCCAATA